GCTACGTATTAATCATATATCCGGTTGCAGAACTACAAATTACGGGTCCAAGTGCAAAAAAAATCTGTTCGGCTGAACTTTGCATTCTAGTACTGCGGGGCTGGCTGTGCATCGTGAATTAGTTCTCTATCTTCATCCTCAGCCGATGGGCAAGTGCTACAGATGCATCACAGGTTGTCTTCCGTTTTCTGGAATTGAAGTAGCTAACTTTCGCAGATAGATTGACTACTCCTACACGTGCACATGTGACGCCATTAAGAAGACGTCCCCTAGACAACGGCTTCCTGGAGAAGAATCTTCGATTCGGGTGACGTGTTGTCCTCTCAAATACATCCCCGATCACTAATCTTATATGTCATTTGCGTGAAAGATTCTAAATTTACTGGGGCTGACCGTGACTATCGACCGGCAAATATGCCGATTACTCTGTTTCGAATAGATTGGAGGCTCAACATGTCGACATTCGCTCAACAGATAAACGTCGGAGCATATAAGCCTCTATCCCTATAGAGGCTTATATATATAAGCCTCTATCCCTATCTACAACGTGCAAACGGCCTGCCAACCGCGCTGTCCATAACGCGTTGCGAGAATTATTGCAGTGTTTTTCATGTAAACTCGATTTCATATAGTAAAGCAAGGGTTGTTTCTAGCATCTTGTCATAGGAGGTCACATCTGTAAAGAGCAAAGCGATCCCCAAAGGTACTGAACCTGGAGTTGTAAGAAACATCATTAAAGTGATTAACTACACGTATGCTACAATCTATCAGGGTTTAGCATGAAAGACCGCCAGAACATATACATAATTGATACTTTTTTGCTGAATATCAAACAATACACTCAAAAATTCGAGTAGTGCAAAGTACCTGATACTTGAATGAACCACAGTTCCGCGTCCTAGAAACGTTCTTTGACCTAGTCCCCTGTGTGCATTTGTCAACTCTATATAGTTCCTCAGTGTAAGCTGCCACGATAACCCCTTATACATACAGAACCGGATACAGCAAATTATCATTTTGACCTTGTACAGTTTTGCATGAGGATTATGCAATACCCATATCGACACAGCGCCTGCTACTAATGTGCTAGCTTTTTAATATTGACGTAAAACACACCCACTGCCATCGTTCATTAAGGGTCAACAAGTGTCCCATTGCGCTACTTTGCCACAAATATGATTGTCAAATCAATCAAATTCTGACTACGGTGGAGGCGAAAATGACAATTGTATTGTGACGACTACTTGGGGTTGCAAGCTTGCGACCAGCCAGCGTTCCGCCTAATCCTAAATGACAGCTTTATCATGTGATAGACTGGTCTGAATGGAGCACGAACTTATGATTACACAGAGGGCTTACAAATCTCTAAAGTTCCATCGACAATGCCGAGCTTGAAACCAAGATCGTGTCGTAGAATCCGAAGTGATGATCCTGAAATTGATGTCATTTTATCTAAGCGAGTTATTTTTTTAAGCCGACGAGTTTTGCATGTACTAGATAACTCAGCAATATTGATCGTTTATTCAGTCAGCAAACGTTGACGCGTCAACCAATTCACACATCATTAAAGGGCATTTGGCGCAGGGGAAGATGACAAAGCTCGGCTTTTGTTCAAATACTGTGGTGGTTTCACCATAGTTGATTGTCATTACCGACAGCAAATACCGGGTGCTTAGATTTTGGTGCTTATTGGTATTTATTACCATCGCAGTCCAAAATTCCGGTTTTGCGTCTCGTATATTGTAAAAAAACTCTAACTTGTGAATATATTATGTACTATAATACCCTTCCAAAATAGAGGATTTTGTCGCATCAGCTTATCAGAATCTGGTAATTCTGAATCTACGAATCACAAAGCGTGGTAGTGTGTAATTTCCAGCTCAATGAATCTCGATGCTTTCATCACGCTACAGTGCTGGCCAAAAATATGTAGCCATGACTATTTCTCAATTTTTTTACGTCAATTTTGAGCGAAATACCCTAAAACCGTGTAGAAACGCTATTGAGACAAAGCACTTTAGGAGCAT